GTGGGGTGGGGTGGGGGTGGGGGGCAGCGGCAAAGCAAAACTCCCTGGCACAGAGGAACCTCAGGGAAACGAGGGGCCATCTGATTGCTTGAGATCCACTTAACTGAAGCCATGCTGGGAGTGGAGAGGCGTGTGTGCGCGCACAGAGTAAATGACAATAAAGGGCCCCAAGGAAAGCGCTCTGGTCACCCACCTACTGCACCAGAGCCCTCCTGGGAAGCATCCAGCTCCTCTGATGTGATGGCAGCCATCAGCAGCTAGTTTCTTCAGTCAGCACTTTTCCCTAGCAGCATCACCTTTAACCTAACTGATTATGGAAACACATCCCTCTTTTTCAATGTGCCAGCAGAGGAGAAGACTAAACAAGTTGGTTCTTCTGCCTCTCGAAAAAGGTGTCAGGAGATAGCCTGAAGGAAAGAAGAAGGGCCAGGAGAAACCAAGCAGGCCTGTCTGGAGAGGGGCCTGCAGGCACCCGAAGGCGCTGAACCTTCCCTCTCCTTTCCCATGCCCCATTTCTTCTGGCAGCCTCCTTCAACTTGGCTCCGTTCGCCCTACCTGTCAACATCTTAAGCTCAGGCATCAAAGCTCAGCCCTGGGGGTGGTACTGGGTGCCAAACTGAGATGTGCATCCTGCTGGGAGGGGAAGGAGGCTTCCTGCCAGTATGGATGGAGAAGGCGGGGACAATCACTTTGAACTTGTCCTTTTTGGCCAGAAACGTTTCTTCCACCCAGCTGGTAACTTCTAGCCACAATGGTCTCTCTGCAGGGATTTAAACTGTGGACAAGTTACACCTGTGGCTGGGATCACAGGTTACACTAAACTTCATCCATCACACGCATTGCTATTAGCACAACTAAACCACCTTCTAGCTTAGAGGAGCATTGAACCCCAACTATTAATGCAGGAACCCAGGATTTTCTTTGAACTGATGAAAGATTTTGTAAAACAAAAACAAAAACAAAAACAAAAACAAAAACCCTGCCTGTATGTGTAATTTGAAATTCAGATTAGAATGCTTGCATTTCCAAACATTCAGTATTTGATTCTGATTCTTGTGAAAAGTAGAAATCTGAGTTGCTGCTCAGCAGCTGTTAAGCATCCCTTTGCCTTTGGGATGCCCTTCTGCTGGGGGGATGAAAGCTGGCATCTTTCTGGCCCATTCAGGCAGCCTGCTAATGGTTTGGGCTGGTAGGGACTTTGACTCCTTCAGTCAGCCCTTCATAATGAAAAGGGACTTGTCTCCCTCACTAACGCCTTTTCTCCGGCTGCTGAAGGCTCCGCTCTGATGCCGAATCTGGGCTGGGGGCTCCCTAGCACTCACGTGTTTCTTGGCAGATGAGCGAGGTGTACGGCCCAGTGTTCACCGTGTACCTGGGACTGCAGCGGGTCGTGGTCCTGTGTGGCTACCAAGCAGTGAAGGAGGCCTTGGTGGATCAGGCAGAGGAGTTCAGTGGGCGAGGGCAGCTGCCAGCCTTCTCCAAGGACTTCAACCAGCATGGTGAGGGATGGTCTTGGTAGAGGACAGGCCTGAGCCTGCACTGCTGTACGTAAACTGCACCTGAGGCAGCAGCATTTGCAGGGCCTTCGCCTTGGTGGGTGAGGCCCTTGGAGAAACTGCCTATCCTCCTGGTCTCTTGGGCAGGGATTGTGTTTGCCAACGGGGACCGCTGGCAGCAGCTCCGGAGGTTCACCCTCACCACCCTGCGGAACTTCGGGATGGGGAAGAGGTCCATTGAAGAGCGGATCCAAGAGGAGGCCCAGTGCCTGGTGGAGGAGCTCCAAAAGACGGCAGGTAGCCATCCAGGAGCAGGAACCCCTCCCTTCCTCCCTTGCTTGGTAACTGTTTACCCCAAGCCTTGCACAACCAGAGGTACCAGACTTGCAGGTTACTCTTCAGACCGCATAAGGCCAGTTTTTCCCTGCTTTGGTCAGGAGCGTAGAGTAGGAGCTTGGTAGAGCCCCAAGAGAAGAATGTTTGCTTTTCTACAGTGGCCAGCTCAATGCCCTGGGATCCTGTGAGCAGTCTCCCCAGCAACTGATACTGACTGCCTCTGATCCCAGAGATAATCATAGTTAGTAGCCATTCTTACCTTTCTCCTGCATGAATCTGCCATTCCACTTTAAAGTTGTCCAAGTGGATGGCTCATGCCACAGACCATGATGTGCGGGCAACACCTTCCTTTTCTTAACCCAGAACTGTTCGCTGCTCAATGGCAATGCATGCTCTTGGGCTCTAGTGCTAGCCCTTCTCTCCACATAACTTTATCATGACCTGTAATTATTTGTCCTTTCAGCAAGCGAAGGTTTTGGACTTTGAATTCGCCATTCAGAAACATTATTGTTGTCCTTGTTGTTGGGCAGGTGGGGTGGAATATAAGAGAAGAACCTGCAGCTCAGCGCAGAGAGAGGGAATGAGGGGATGCTCAATGCTCAGCAAGGTTTCCCCTCTCCCTTTCTCCCAGGGACGCCCTTTGACCCCACCTTCCTTCTTAGTCGAGCTGTCTCCAACATCATCTGCTCCATTGTGTTTGGGAATCGGTTTAAGTACAACAATGAAAAATTCCTCACGTTGAACAAGCTGATAACGGAACGTTTCCGCATTGCAAGCTCAGCCGAAGCAGCGGTGAGGACCAGCTGAAATATTTCTTCCATTTTGCTGCCTTTTCAATACTCAAGCCATTAACTAAGGGATATTGGCCATTTTCTGCTGAGTGCCTGGTTTCAGCATTTTCTCTCCAAAATACTTGAAGGTCTATAACCAGATTCGCTATTCTGGGTGGGGAGAAAAGACCTTCCCATGGCTTCAGGCCATGGGGGAGAAGAAGATGAAAGTTCTCCTAATGTTGGTTGACATTTCTCCCCGTGTGTCCTATGTGGAAAGATGGAGTGGGGGAGGAAGGCTGAGAAGCACACCAACTCTTGATTTGCTTCCAGGCTGTGCTGAGCAAGAAGTCTGGGTAGAATTGGCTGCATCTGATCTCTTGGATGCCTTTGTGAAGAACTTGAGAATGTTAGTTTCTCTGGGGCTGATGGACTTAGTCCAACTGAAATCCTGGCTTCCTTTTTTTCCTGTGAATTTTTAACAATATTCACAGACAAAGTGGAGCAACGTCTTCAAAGATGCCCGTAGCAGAAGGATGTGCTCACAACTGCCCTTCACCAGCTTGGTTAAAGAAGTAGCAGCTGCTTGCACACCACAATCTAAGCTTGCTTAGATTTCTGTGCAAGCCCAGCCTGTTTTGTCAGAACACATGCATGTATTGTGCAAACCGCCCAAATAGGTATTCATTAACCAAGTTAAGCATGGCACAGCCAAAAGCTATGGTCAAGAAAGGCTAATAAAGTTATTGTTTAACTCCTTGCCCCTTAACCCAACATGTAGCTCTACAACATCTTCCCGGAGATCATGGAGAAGATCCCTGGAGCACATCACGCAGGCAACAAATGCTCTCAGCGCATCATCAGCTTCATAAAGGAGAGGATCCAGATGCAGCAGGTCTTGCTGGACCCTTGCGCCCCCCAAAATTACATTGATTGTTTCTTGGCAAAGATGGAGCAGGTAATACCACCTAAGAAGTTTCACTTCTCACTTCAGTGGTGTGAGGGGTCGGAGGTGCTTAATTGCAGTTCAACTTCCAGGCAAAGAGGTTCAGTTGTGCATCTTTGAGGTGCAACTGTGGTCTTCCTGTTGGCCCCCAAGCCCACTGGCTTCCTTCCCTCGAGCAGAGGGGAAAGGAAGAGAAGTCATGTCCCCCTTTCTTCTTGGGCCATCAAACATGGTTACGGCAGTCAGGTCTTGAGGGTCCAGGCAGAGCGCCAGCGCCAGGAATTTGGAGCCAAGATTTAGGCAGACAGACAAGCCAGCATTTCTATGATCACCTTTCAGCTCAGAGCTCAGCTAATTAACAAATTGGTTAGTGAACTCATGAACAAAGAGGCAGGCCTGTACCTCTGTGCTGCTGCTGTTCAGCTTAAAGGGGCTTGCCCAGGACTGCAGCCACGGCTGACCTCAGCCCATGTTCCCTGCAGCAGAGCGGCTTAGGGTGAACCTCCAGCTCCAAAATGTCTTAGGTCTGATTAAAACTGGATTAAATGGCAAACTGCAAGACTGGGGAGTAAAACTTGATGTGCTCATTGGGGTGCTAATTCCCCTTCTACTGGCCCTCAGGAGATAGTACCCTACCAGTTTCATTCTGTTGGAATTCACTGCGCTTAAATAGTCACTGATTTCACCAGGGGGTTCAAGCCTCTACTGGGATCTGAACTCCTGGACAACGACACTTTAGATCAGTGTTTCTCAACCTTGGCAACTTTAAGATGTGGGAGTTGAAGTCTCTGCTGTAGATACAGAGCCTTCACCCTAGGGCAGTGTTGTCCAAACTTCAACTCCCAGAATTCCCCAGCCAGCCCTGCAGGGTTAGGGTTAGGGTTAGGGTTAGGGTTGGCTGGGGAATTCTGGGAGTTGAAGTCCACCCATCTTAAAGTGGCCAAGTTTGGACAACACTGCCCTAGGGGCTATGCAGGTCCTGATATTTGGAAGCACTGTTGGAAGGGAGATAAAGAGTATGTCTTTGGAATGGTACCGATCAAAGGAACCTTGCAAAATGAGGTCATGACATGATACAACATCTGTATCTCTGTAGCCTGACAGCTTAAAGGGGCAGGCGAACAGAACGTGCCGCATTCTAAAGAGTGGCTTCCCCTTCCGGAGTGCCCTGGTTCTGCCCCCAGGGAAGCAACTGGTTATGCGGGGAAGCGCCTATTTTGCTAGATGGGCCGTAGGATGCTGTTGTCACGCTGGAAGCCGGAGTAGGCCCAAGGCTAGGAAGGACCCAAACGCCACCTCCCGCTCCAAGGACGAAAGGCACTCAGTGATAACTGAGAGATTGGCGCTTGCCAGTCTTGATTCTGCAGCTGCCAGATCTTCTTGGTCTGGGACCTTCGCCAGAAGCAAGGCTTTATTCCGTCTGTGCCAGCAAAACGTTAAAGATTTGTGCCTACCAGGTACTAATGCTAAAGATGTAAATATGAGTTTTTTCTTCACCTCCTTGACCCTTGTCAGGAAAAGCACAACCCAGATTCTGAATTCTGTATGGAGAATTTGGTCATGGCCACATTCAATTTGTTCTTTGCTGGGACAGAAACGATCAGCACCACCTTGAGATACAGTTTCCTCCTCCTGATGAAGTACCCGCAGGTGCAAGGTAAGTGAGGAAGGAGCCCCCGAGGGCTACCAGAGGCTCCTCCTGCGGATGGGCTGACAAGTGGGGGAGGGCAGAAGGTCGGGTGTGGGGCCTGTCTTTCTTGGCTGTCCATCTGGCGTGACGAGACCTTCCAGTTCGAGAAGGTGGAAGGCGCACAGCAACATTTGGGCATCAGCGGGTGGCACTTCGTGGCCCTTTCCCTGCAGAGCAGGTCTGCATGTTCTACGGCCCTGCTTGTGGCCCTCAAGGATCTCTCACAGTTACCACCACATTCTGTTTTTTAATAGGATAGAAATGAAACAATTAACCACATGGGAATAATCATTTTAAGTGCTTTTCATTAATTTAAGTTTCTTGACCTTTGTCCATGGAGTAAGTCATATTCCCATTTTGACTTCACCCCTCCTGCCTCTGTGGCCCCTGGACCACAAAATGCTATTCTCTCCCACCTGTGGTGTGGACCCTTGGAATTGCTCTGCAAGCACGTTTTGTGGCAAACGTGCGGATGTGTTGCTGGTTTGCCTTCAGTGGGTTTCACAAGAATGCACTGCAGCCCTGGCACCCCAAATCGACAAGCACTGACTTCTGGGAAGTGAGTGGGGCTCTCCTGGCTTCGGGGGGATGCCTGAGCCCCATTGGTCCTGCTCCCCTAGAAAAGCTTCATGAGGAAATTGACCGGGTGATTGGACCAGGCCGCTCACCCGCGGCTGAGGACAGGAGGAAGATGCCCTACACGGAGGCGGTCCTGCACGAGGTCCAGAGGTTCAGCGACATCCTGCCCATGAGCCTTCCCCACGCAGTCACTCGGGACACCCACTTCAGGGGATACGTCATCCCGAAGGTGAGGCTCCCAGGGCAGGAGATGCCCTGCCCGCGAGGACCCAGAGGTCCGGGCCAGAGAACTTTGGCCTGAGTTTGCCCAGCATGCTCAATTCCATTACGGCCTTCATGGTCTGCACTTCACATTAAGCCACAATAAACCCTGACCCTGATCAAAAGGTTACTGCAGCCAGCAGACGTTAATTGGGCTGGTTGAGCTTATGGTGGGAATCCAGCCTCTGACGTTTGTTTTTGGGCGGGGGGGTTCATTTCCTGCCAGATTGGCACCTGCCCTACTGGCCTGAGCCATGCCAGTTATGCAAAATCAGCTGACCTTTGGTAAAACGGTATCTGAGAAGAGGGCACCCTGCCCAGTGTGATGGGCAGCGGCACCAGCCTGCCGGGCTCCCGGGCAGAGAAAGGCTTTTGGGAAGCTCCTTTGGGCTGGAGTTGTGCCAAGCAGATGCTCTGCCGTGGAAGGATGGTGGGCATCTCTTTGGGTCTCAAGCCCTCTGCCCTGAAGGCTGCTTCCGAAATGTCACTCATCCCTACGTCCTTGGATGGGGCAACGCAGGCGCCTCATTCTGACCTTTTCTTCTCGCCTCTGTCTCCAATTTCCTCTTCTCCTTCTCCTACTGGGCTGTTCCTGCCAGGGGACATATATCTACCCTCTACTCAGCACGGTGCACTATGACTCTGAGCATCACGCCAGCCCTGAGCAGTTTGACCCCGGGAGATTCCTGGACAGCCATGGCCGTTTCAAGAGGGCAGATGCCTTCATGCCGTTCTCAGCAGGTGTGTCCTGGGGCTGGGGGCTGGGTGGGGGACTTCTCCCCCCTTCTCCGGGGGGGGAAGCCACAGAGGATGGGCACGGTCTCTGCAGCAACAGTTGTTTCCCTTTCAACCTATTGCCGTCCTTCGCGGCCAGCAGCCCTCCGGATCCCTTGGACTGGTTGTCAGAAGGTTGGATTACCCAACCCTTGGCATAGCAGCCCTGCCTTTAATGGCCTGAGGCGCAGCGCCTTCCGTGTCTAGGGAAAAAATCCTCTGCTGAATCCGGCAGCCCCAGCCGCTGTTTCCTGGCTCTGGGAGAACTGTCCTCCTGCCCCTCCCAGACCCTCCCGCCTGGCCCGGGACCCTGCCCTCCCCTCCCCGTCCCCCCTTGGTGCCCCCTGCCTCCTTCTCCTCCCCCTCACCGTG